CCCGTGTGACTCCCCAAAGCAGTCTAACTGAGGGGTGGGCAACAGAGCAAGCAATGCCAACCCCCCCCGCCCCACCCACCCACAAAAAAACAAGGGCAATAAAGGAACATAGAGAGTTCAGAGTCTGGTTTGAAGCACCTTATGCCCGAAGCTGACATCAGCAGAGGCCTGAACATCCAACTGTTCAGGCCTCTGTAGTAGATAATCTTAGACCAATAGTTTATACTGCCACCTTCAGGAGGTTGGAACACTGGCAAACAAAAACAGTTAAGTCAGCCCTCTCTATAACGCCATTTCCAACCATAATGTGCAAGCAGTACACAAGGCCAAAGAAACAGAGGCGTAAGATCTGTGTAGATCTCAAGAAATACATGTTACGGTAAGTACAAAAAACTTACTTTCATTATTGTCCATTGAGGAACACAGAAATTCTAGATAATCTTGGACCAATAGGATATACAAAAGCAGTTATACTGAGGAGTGAGTAATTGCCACAGATTCAGCAACATGGAATGATCCTACACACAGATCACCAATCTAAAAATGGGCCATGACTAAGGAGAGGGCCCTGTGAAGGAACCTGTGTTACAGACTAGAAGGGCAAGAACTGATCTTGCCCAAATAACATCAAATGTTATTGGGGTATGGTGAAACACAGCAACCCCTCCCTTGAAAGAACATAATCTTACAGGTTATAAAGTGCAAAGCAGTTAACTACAGGAAAGTTTTAGCTTAATGCAGAAGTATAACAATCTTTGATAAAAATAGGTCCCCAGGGGGCCTGCAGGGTTGCTCCTTCATCTAGAGGAAGCAAGACTGTATTGATCTGGTATAAGTCATAGAATGCAAAGTCCAGGGATTGGATTGCTTTCCACGATCACTGGGATCAGGATCCACCAAATATACAAGTTACAACAATCTAGGAACTGGCTGACCTTAGATAAGGTACCTTAATAGTTCTCTACAGATGCTTTGTTTTAAAAGGGGAATAATAGTCAGAAATAGTTGATTAGAGATAAACACTGTAATGGTGTAGAAACATCCAGGACCTCACCAGCTCCTTTGTAAGAAGGAGTGGAAGTAAAAGCCGAATAGTATTTCACAGCATAGGTTTCTACCATCACAGAAAACAGAGGTTCCAGGGATTATACACAACTAGGTATAGAAACTCAAATGATTAAAAACAAGCTGTAGGATCTAGAGTGGAAGCAGCAGGAGGAACCTGAGCAACTACACCATAAGGAGGAAGAAAAAGCTTATTAATTATAGTGGTGGTAAAGTTGTGAAGTTATAAATGGAAATCTTGTGGCTCTGAGATCTGTGGTATATGTCTTTGAGGGAGCCTTAGAGGTAGAGCAGCAATAGTAGATGCAGATTGTGATTGTTCTTTCTCATCTACGGATCTGCTGCAAAAAAGCGGGCACACATTGAGAGGCTAACGAGCAAAGGCAACTGGAAAGTGAGCTGAATTGGAGAATTTTTCCAAATCCGTTATTTTGTCCTAGATTGTTCACTTTTCCTGCCTTCTCCAACCTCTTCACCCTTTAGTGAATAACCCTGAAAGTGTGGATGCAGGGCTCACATACCAGTAAATCTTATCCAGAGGCTTACTCCCAGAGTGATTCTTCAGGGACTGGGTCACACCAGAGACTGTGCCACATCTATCGACTTGGAACTAGCCCTGCAGCTAACACAGTGAAAAAATTGTCTGGAAAAGCACTGCAGACAGAGTCCAGTGCTTGAAGGTCACATTCCTGGCTAGCCCCTCAATCTTTGGTCCAGTGGGGCGTGGATCAGGGACATGCGGTCAGGGGAGGCAGGTGAAGCAGAGCCTCTCCACTGTGTAACCTGTCATGGAGGGAGTGCTGCCTGTTAATTACAGGCATCACTGCATCCGGCTTTTGAAAGGTAGTTAGGCTACACAGCAGCGGGGTTCCCCACTGCGTGAGTAACCTAACTTGGTGAGGCAAGAGCTGTCACAGCCTCTAGTCTGTGTTAGAGGTGAGCTCTGTGGATGGCTTGGAGCAATAGCAAAGCGCCATTGGTGCAAGCTGTCCAATAAAAAAAACAAAAACCAGTGAGGACATCGATCTTGATGCCTTACCAGTGACTCGCCAGTGACGAGCAAGTGAGGCACAGGAATGCTCCTCCCTGTCTCCTCCCCACA